AAAAAAAAAAAAAAAGATCAAGAGTCCTCTTGGTCACCTCGTGTAGGACCTGGCACAAGGCAGCTAGCCAATGAACATCTGCTGAACTGATGGAACTGAACTGCGAATGGGCTGGGGGATCATAATGACTACACGACCATGGCCACCACAGCCACGCAAGGGTGGGACTCACTGCGATGTTGAGCTTGATCATCTGGCCCTCCTTGAAGCCTAGGTCCAGTTTGGGGCCTTGGTCTGGGTTCTGGGCTTGTTTTGCAAATTCACACTGCTGTTTGACCCACCTAGGGAGAGAACCAGAAGAAAACAGTGAGGACTATCCCAACCATCCCACATTCACTGCTGCCTGCCACCTGCCCAGGCTGGATGACAGAAAGAGTGCTGGCTTGAGAGGTGGGCCTGAATTCTAGTTCCGGTTCTGACATTTAAGCAGCTGCATGCACATCTGTTTCCTCATTCCTTATGCACAATAAGCTGGAAATTTGATAGGTCTTAAAGATGGCTATGAGAGTTCAGGAAGACCATTTAAGTAGAGGGTTCTAACACAGTCTCCATGAAATGTGACAGCCTGGCCCTTTCCTCCCTGACAATGGCATGAGAACTAAGACTTGGTCTCTATAAACCCCCCTCCCCCAAGCTCATAGGTAGATGAGAGGCAAGAAAGATGCTGAGAAGTAGAGGGCAAGACCAAGATCTCTTACCCTCCATACAACACCATCCAGCAGTGACATGGGACAGAGGCGCCAGGTCAGGGAAGAGCCAGGTGAGAGGCTGGGCCCTGCCTGCTCACTGGCAGTGAGTGTCAGAGCCCTGCAGTTGGCAGAGGAGGACTTTCCTGCCCTTTTAGCTTCATAAAGAGGATCGGCTGGGTGGCCTGGGCATCAAAGCACCATTTACTCCAACAACAGCCCCCCAAAAGTCAAGGAGCCTAACAAGGACTCTGGCTGCTCAGGGGCCTGGTAAGGGCACAGATGTGACAGCCTGAAGTCTGGCCCAGCTGAGTGTGATGGAGAGACAGGTCTTGGGAGAAGGAGAATTCACAGCAGACACGGGGACTGGCAGAGCAGAGAGAAGGCAGCCTACCCCAAAGGAGAACCGTGTCCTCCTAAGGCTTTGCTAGCACACAAGTCACACCCAACCCTAACCTGGGAGATCATTCTCTCTGGGGAAAGAATGGAGGAGGCATGAGCACGTGTCTCCCAGAACCACTCACTTGAAATGGTCCTGCAATGCAACGTTGAAGTCAAAGGCATCACCTCGGTCCCCAAAGCCAATTCCAATAAATGCCCGTCGCCCTGGAGGACAGCACACGATCAGTCCCACTTTCCACAGTAGAGAAAACCTTTCTCAGGAGGAGGGTCTCACCAAGACCCACACGTACCGTTTTCATCTTCAATGCGGATAACGAAGTACCTGCTGGAATCTGTCACACTCTCCACAGCTGTGCCAGGAAACTGATCCACCGGTGCCTGAGCAAAGAGCTCCCCTAAAAGTACAAGTTAGGGTGAGCCTTGATCCCCCTCCCAGCCAAGTGCTGCTATCACACTACTGGGGCCTTTTTCCTGCAGAGCAACTCTGGTGAGCTGAGGCAGATGGGCAAACCTTACTCTGGGATTCAAATCAAAGCCACTGTGGTGGAAAGAAGACGCAAAAATAGAACTGCTAAGAAGTTTAAGTCAGAGATGGCTGACAGGTCAAACCCAGCCCACAGTTTAGCATGTTTTATTTAATTGCCAATTCAAAATGAGATCACATGTAAAACAATCCAAATTTCTTGCTTCCTTTAAAATTCCCTCTACCAGTGCTGGGCATCCATCCCCACCTGAGATGAGGAGGCCAGAGCTGCCACCTACCCATTCCCTCTGCTTTACTCTCTCAGGTTACCTGCCTGGATCCTGAGCACCCTGGCCTAGGTGCACCACACTTTCAGAAAAGGCCTAGTACCTAAGGCAGGACTGTAAGAAGGGTCAGTGAGCCCAGTGAGAAAAAGCGAGTCATTCTTGCACCCAACGAAGACTGTGAAATGGGATGACTTAATTCAATCTTAGGGCACAAGAGTGACTGGCTTTAAAAGGGGCCCCTGTGAAATGCATCCCCTCGGCATCAACTGTCTGTACAAGTGCAGCGCACACGCAGCTTTTGTAGGCATTAATGACTGGCATCATTTTTGCATGTGTTGACCTCTGTTGGTGCTTTAAGCATTTAACCAAATATCTTCCGAGGCCTTGGTTTGGAGATGACTGTGTAATCGAGGCTGAAGTGAACTAAAACTGACAGCTCTAGAGCCTGCAGCTTCTTGTTAGTTCATCTGCCCTCCATTCTAGACTCACCTGGAGGCCTCCAGCCCAGAGCAGTGGTTCTCAACCTGGAGCAGTTTTGTCTCCCAAGAGGCCCCTGGCAACGTCTAGGGACATTTTCGGTTGCCACAATGTGGGAGGTGCTACTGGCATCTGGCACATAGAGGCCGGGGATGCTGCTATCTCACACTGGGCTCCACAGCTCTTCAGAACAAAACCTCATCTGGCCTCACTGTCAAAAGGCTGAGAATCCCTGGCCTAGAGTAATGTCCTCACTGCCTCACTCCACAGTGAGACAAACAAAACCCAGGCATGAGCTACCAACACCCTGGGCAGGTCCTGCAGATGAGGCTCAGGCCCAGGCAGTGGCTTTCACCTTAGGCAGTCATGTTACAGACACAGTTCCCAAACTCCCCCCAAAACAAAAGGTGTTGCCATTTCCTTGTATGACAGTGGGGCTGGACACAGGGTCAGTGATATCTCAGCAATTCTCTGCCCTAACCATGGCGGCTGCCTCTTCAAAGTGCTCTGCAGCCAAAACCTCCCGTCTACCCCTTGCTCCGGAAGAATCAATCAATGCTTTGAGCAGGTTCACAAAGCAATTAGATACAGATCTGCTCACTTCCTATTTCCAACAATCTTGTGAGGAGGAACTAATGTGATACTCATTTCAATACAGAGACCAAGGCTCAGAGGTCACGTGGCTTGTCCAAGGCCCAGCAGCTCAGGCAGAAGTGGTGTTAAGTTCTGAGAAAAGGCAGCCCGTTCTGCCCCTAAATCTCTGCCCGCTTTTTTGCTCCAAAGGAAAATCTATATCAGAAAAAAACAAAGGACCCAATGCTGTGGCACCTGACTGAGCAGGCAATGGGCCTGATCCCCACAGGGTGGGTTTCAGGCTGGGACTGTATTCCAAACAACGACCCCTCTATAGCACAACCAGAGGCACCAGTGGCCCAAGGCCTCCAGAGAGGCTTCTCCAGTATAACCCGAACCCAGCACAGCCCAGCTTGGCTTGTCCTCTCACCACAGAAAAGAGCTGAGTAGGACAGTTCCCAGCCTCTATCAGTTAACGGGCACAGTCAGCTCTGGGGACTTCACATTTAGCTGATAAACAAAATCCCTGAGGAAGAACCAGGGCGCAGCAGCTTATCTTTGAGGCAAACGGAAGGGCTCTTACTTCCTTCTGGGATGATCTGCGAAGCTCCCTCTCCTTGGCCTCCAAAGTTATTACTTTCCTAAGGACTCCCAAAAGGAACAAGTGCTTGACAAGAAATACTCCTTTTAACACCTGAGGACAGGTGGGGGAACAAAGGCAGCTTAAGGGTACTCTCGTGTCGCTGACTTCCAGGCAAGTTCCCGTCACCTCTGAGCAGCCTTGCCAGGCCCTGGCTGCCTTCTCCTTCTTAAAACAGGAGGTGCAGCACCTCAGCCCAGCGTGGCCCTCTTTGTCTTTACCTGACGTCCTGTCCTCCAGCTTGATGTAGGCCACCTGCCCCTTTGCAGTGATCCTTAGCCGACCACTCCATGACGGCTGGTCCAGCTGCCACTCTGCGGCCCTAAGGGGACAAACACTACTGAGCTTCTGCGAGGGGCTCCTGCTCCATGACTCCAACACTGGGGATAGGAATGGGAAAGGCTGCTTGTTTTAGACCAGGGCTTGGCAAATGTTTTCCGTAAAGGCCAAACAGCAAATATTTTTGGCTTTGTAGGCAATTCTGCTGTTAGAGAGTGAAAGTAGTAGACTCTGCACATGTTGGTGCTTTAAGTATTTTAACAGAGTATTTTCCACTCTGTAGAAGTAGCTGTATTTTAATAAAATTATACAGACACTAAAATCTGAAATTCCTATCATTTTCACAGTTTGTTCTTTGCCGGGCACAATATTCCCAGCCTTTTAGGAGGCTGAGGTGGGAGGATTGCTCAAGGTCAGAGTTTGGGGCCCAGCCTGAACAACAGAGCAAGACCCCCCCCCCACAAAAAACATTTAAAATTAGCAGAGCATGGTGGTACCTGCCTGTAGTCCCTACTGTTTGGGAGGCTAAGGTGAGAGAGGATTGCTTGAACACCCAAGTTCAAGGTTACAATGAGTTATAATTGTAGCACTGCACTCCACTCTGGGTGACAAAGCGAGATCCTGTCTCTAAAATAAAAATATAACAAAATAAAAATTAACCAACAGCTCTTCCCCTAAGCAGCCTGAGGTGATTTGTGAAAATGGTTTGCTATTCACCTGACCCAGAAAATCCCACAAAGTCATGCAAGTCAAGAGGCTCAAATCTTCGTGTTCACTTTAAGAACACACGTGAAACTGCCCAGGCCATCAAGGTGTGCATATATGAAAAGCCACCAAGTATATGAAGGATGTCACTTTAAAGAAACAATGGACGGGGTGGCCGAGTGGTTAAGGTGATGGACTGCTAAAGAAACAATGTGTACCATTCCGACTTTACAATGGTGGCGTTGGTAGGTGTGCCCAGGCCAAACAGTGGGGCTGGACACAGGTTTGGTGGCCCAAAAAGAGTGCTGAATTTAAGGGTTTAGATGGAGATTCTCTGGTCATCGAGCAAATCCAAGTGAACAAAGCACCCGAGATGCGTCACCGAACTTACAGAGCTCACGGTCACATGAACCCATCCATGAGCTCCCTCTGCCACATTGAGATGATCTTTCCTGAAAAGGAACAAATTGTTCCCAAACCCGAAGAGGAGGTAGCGCAGAAGGAAAAGATATCCCAGAAGAAACTGAAGAAACAAAAACTTATGGCACGGGAATAGATGCAACATGAAATAAATGCAAATAACAGTAAAAGAAAAATTTTACCATTAACTTAGTGATGTAAAAACCATCCTTGTGGGCGAAAACACAGCAAGTTGTAGCTTGCTGACCCCTGTTCTAGACCACAGAGACTTTCCCCGAGTCCGATGTGCTTCTAGTTTTCTTTCTGTAGAGGAAGTAGCTATGGGGCCTATTGTTTCTGTTCAAGACACTGCTGAAGCAATCATTAATAGAAAAAGAAAAGAGGCTAGGCACAGTGGCTCACACCTGTTATTCTAGCAATGCAGGAGGCTGAGGCAGGTAAATTGCTTAAGCTCAGGGGTTGGGAGACCAGCTTAAGCAAGAAAAAGACTGTCTTTAAAAAAAACCAAAAAAAAACTAGCTGGGCATTGCGGTAGGGCACCTGTAATCCCAGCTACTGGGGAGGCTGAGGCCAGAGAATCGCTTTGAGACCCAAGAGTTTGAGGTTGCTGTAAGCTATAACAAGTGCTGCACTCTACTGAGGGTGTCAAAATGGGATTCTGTCTCCAAAAAAAAAAAAAAAAAGAGAGAGAGAGAGCGAGAGCAATATTATATGTGAGAAAAGTGGTTGGGTGTTTCAGAAATAGGTTCCCAGGTGGAGCCTGTGGCTCAAGGAGTAGGGCACCAGCCCCATATACTGGAGGTGGTGGGTTCCAACCTGGCCCCAGCCAAAAACAGAAAAAAAAAAAGAAATAGGTTCTCAAAGGTATCCCAGGCAGAAAGAAAACCAGGAAACCATTGACCTGCAGCCATGGTCTTGTTTGGTTCTTTTAAAACAATAACTTCACATCTGAGTTCTAAGAAGCCGCTAGGTAAATCCCCCAAACAGCAAGAACCACGGGTGTTTCCAAGAGGCTTTTCTTTTTTTTTTTTTTTTTTTTTTTGAGACAGAGCCTCAAGCTATCCCCCTGGGCAGAGTGCCGTGGCATTACAGCTCACAGCAACCTCCAACTCCTGGGCTCAAGCGAGTCTCCTGCCTCCGCCTCCCAAGTAGCTGGGACCACAGGCGCCCGCCACAACGCCCGGCCATTTTTTGGTTGCAGCCATCATTGTTGTTTGGCGGGTCCGGGCTGGGGATTCGAACCCGCCACCCTAGGTGTACGTGGCTGGCGCCTTAGCCGGTTGAGCTATAGGCGCCGAGCCAAGAGGCTTTTCTTGGAAGTTCCTAAGCACATGCCAACTCTCAAGAACTCTGGACACAGGTTGTTTTGGCGGGGTCACACAAACTGCAGACTCTCAATTCATAAGTCAGCAGTCTCAGTTTCAGTTCCTCTGCCTGGAGAAACAGGCCTTGAACAGGCCTTCACAGTAAGGAGAGCTCTAAGGGGAACCAACCCCATCCTACTAAAGACCCAACAGGGGATGAGGGTAGACAACCATCTCTGGTTTGAAGGTCCATCTCTAGGTAGATGATAGAGAGCAAATGTATTTCTGTTGTTATTATTGTTTTCACACTAAAATTACATCATGGATCTAATAAAGTGTTCAATAAAACATTAGTTCCCTAGAACATGTACTACGAGCTCACTTTAATATCTGGAAAGCAGTAAGAGGACAGATATGTGGACATGCTATTGTTCTTGTAAGACAAGCCAATCCTGTATTACCAAACAGCTTGGACAAACAATGCCTTCAAGAGCCATTCCTTCCTCCCAATTATGAACACCCCCCAACACCACCTCCACTCATTGGCACAAAACAGCCATAAACCAGGTTGTCTATATCGAGTATATCTTTTTTCTTTTAATATTTTTGCCTTGTGTTTAACAAGTAATGCATACACAGGGTAATAAAATGCAAACAGTACAAAAGGATACAGAGTGAAAGGAAGTCTCCCGATGCCACTCCCCTAAGGCAGTTGCCTGTGTTTCCTTCCAAAGATACTCTATTTACAAGTACCTGTGTGTTTACTCAACTCAGGTGAAGATTACACTAGAGAAGTGTGGATTCCTCCCAATTGCTCCAGGTTGTGATCAAGACTGAAATTCGTGCGAAGGGATCTGGCTAGGGGAGAGGACCCTGGGCTTCAGCTATCAGCTTTAAGTTCCCTGGGACAGGTCCTTTTTAGCCGGTTCGAGGCTCCGCCCCCTCCCCTCAAAGATTTCCTCCTGCGACTATGCCCCTTCCCCCTGAAGGCTTTTCAAAGAACCCCTCGTGGTCATCCGTTAGTGCCAAAAGAGGAGGGTCTGCGGCACCACCATCCCCGCCCAAGTTCAGAGTACCCGGCAGCCCACCGGGATCCCCAGCCGCTGGACACGGCTTTCATGCCTTCCCTGCAGGCAGGAGAACCGTGCGTCGTACTGAGACCGCCAAAACTCTGGGTCCCCTTCCTTGCTCAGATCTCCAACTGGAAGAAGCCGCAGCATCACCTCCCCCTCGCCCCTAAACTGGCCAGGACAGTCCTGGGCTCCCGCAGTGGGTGTGTCGGGTGGCGGGAAAGGTTTGAAATCGGGATTAGCCTGGCCTGGCAGCGGGAGGTCACCTGTAGCCACGATTGGTGGCTCGCGGCGGGATGCGGTAGACGTGAACCTCTGGCTTGACACAGAGAACCGACTCGTACTCGCCCTCCTCCATCTCGACGCCCGGAGCCCACCGAACTTCCGGCTCCTTTTTCCGCCCCGCCCCCGGCAGGGCCGGAAGCGGTGAGACTCTATGACCAGACTCTGGCTAGAGCGGCAGCTCGTGGGCCTCAGTACCTCCTCGCCGACGCGCCCTCTGCTGGACAACCTGGCTCAAGACAGGCGGTGTACAAGTCCCTGGCGCTACTTGCGCAGGACCAGGGTCCTCCGGGGACTTCTCTCTTTTAGGTACCCTCGGCCGCAGAGGAAGCTTCAATACAGACCCCATGCAGTCCGTGGTCTTCTTGTAGGTCATTCCCATCGCCTCAGTTTTCCGGTTTGAGGCCCAGTTGGCTGAGATGCAAAGCTGTATGGATCAGCCCGCAGCATCCCTGCTATAGCCTTTGCCTCTGTGCTTCCTCTCCTGCAATGTTCTTCCTTCTCCTGGCTCTGTAAGGCTCAACCCGGGCCTCTCCTAGAGAAATCCCACCTGACCCTCGAAACTAAGTGGGTGCCACTCGCCACGGTTCCCCTTATCTAAATCCACTTACGTGCCCAGAGCCCTGTATACCCTAGGCTTAACAAGGAGTCGTATTCAGAGAAGTAAAGTTTCGTGAGATAAATAATTTTAGAAGAATTCTAGTCTTAACTTGGATTTCTCACAGAATATTCTAAGGAGTATATGTTTAACCATAGAAATTTTCAAAATTCTTTTTCCCTACAAATCTCTCATTCATTCCATGAGTTGGGTACCTACAACGTGCCAGGCCCTAGGTGGGGCACACAGCTGATCCCAAATCTCTGACTTACCGAATACTCCCAAACTTTCTGCACCTCCTCCTCTTTCCTCCCCTACCCTTTAGTGCTGGGATTATAGGTGTGAGCCACCATGTCCAGTTTGTATAAGTTCTTTATTACAGGATAGAATTAACCTCTTAATTTTTTTAACCTCTTAAATTTTTGTTTTTGTAAAATATATATAACATAAGTTTTACCATTTTAAGTGTACAATGCAGTGAGATAGAGTACATTCACAAAGTTGAGCGATCATACCATGATTTTCAGAACTTTTCATCATCCTATACAGAAATTCTGTATCATTTAAGTAATAACTCCCCATTTCTGTATCTCCCCAAACCCCCAGTAACTTCTACTCTAATTTCTGTGTCTATGAATTTGCCTATTCTAGAAACCACATGTAAGTGAAATAGTACAATATTTATCCTTTTTTTTTAGAGACAGAGTCTCACTTTATCACCTTTGGTAGAGTACCATGGTGTCACAGCTCCCAGCAACCTCTAACTCCTAGGCTTAGGCGATTCTCTTGCCTCAGCTTCCTGAGTAGCTGGGACTCCAGGTGCCCGCCACAATGCCCAGCTATATTTTTGTTGCAGTTTGGCCGGGGCAGGGTCCAAACCAGCCACCCTCGGTATGTGGGGCTGGTGCCCTACTCACTGAGCCACAGCCGCCGCCCACCTTTGGGTATTGTGACAAATGCTGCTATCAACGTTGTATTCAAGTCCTTGGTTTATTTTTGTTTTGTTTTTTGAGACAGAGTCTCACTTCGTGACCCTCCGTAGAGTGCTGTGGCCTCATAGCCCACAGCAACCTCCAACTCTTGGGCTTAAGTGATTCTCTTGCCTCAGCCTCCCAAGTAGTTGGGACTATAGGCACCCACCACAATGCCTGGCTATTTTATTTATTTATTTATTTATTTTTGTAGTTTTTGGCTGGGAACTGGGTTTGAACCCACCACCTCTGGCATATGGGCCTGGTGCCCTACTCCTTTGAGCCACAGACACCACCCAGTAGTTCAAGAGCTCTCTTTTTTTTTTTCTTTCAGTTTTTGGCCGGTGCTGGGTTTGAACCTACCACCGGCATATGGGGCCAGCACCCTACTCCTTTGAGCTGTAGGCGCTGCCCTCAACGCCCGGCTATTTTTTGTTGCAGTTTTCATTGTTGTTTGGCAGGCCCAGGCTGGATTAGACCCCACCAGCCTCAGTGTATGTGGCTGGCACTGTAACCACTGTGTTATGGGTACTGATCCTCAAGTCCTTGTTTTCAATTTTCTGGGGGGGGTTTTTTGTTTTGTTTTTTAGACAAAGTCTCATTTTGTCACCCTCGGTAGAGTGCAGTGGCATCACAGCTGACAGCAACCTCAAACTCTTGGGCTTAAGTGATTCTCTTGCCACGGCCTCCCAAGTAGCTGGGACTACAGGCGCCTGAACAACACCCAGCTATTTTTGTTGTTGTTGTCGTCATTGTTGTTTGGCCTGGGCTGGGTTCAAACCTGCCAACTCTGATGTATGTGGAGGGTGCCCTAGCTTCTGAGCTATGGGCACTGAGCCCTTGTTTTCAATTTTCTTGAGTGTATACCTAGGAGTGGAACTGCTGGCCATATGATAATTGCGTTTGGCTTTTGGAGGAACCTCCAAACTGTTTTCCACAGCAGCTGCCTCCTTCTACATCCCCACCAGTATTGCACAAGGGTTTCAGTTTTTCCACATCCTTGCCAATTCTGATTATTTCCCATTTTTAAAAATAATAGCCATCCATCGTGGGTGTGAAGCTCTTTCTTTATGCGAATTGATTTGATCTCTAATTTTCAACTTTGAGGCCAGGCTCAGTGGCTCACGCCTGTAATCCTAGCACTCTGAGAGGCTGAGGTAGGTTGGATCATCTGAGCTCACCAGTTTGAGACTAGCCTAAGCCAGAGTGAGACCTCAGCTCTAAAAATAGCTGAGCGTTGTGGTGGGCGCCTGTAGTCCCAGCTACTTAGGAGGCTGACACAAGAGAATGGTTTGTTTAAGCGCAAGAGTTTGAGGTTGCTGTTGAGTTGTGACGCCACAGCATTCTACCAAGGGTGACAAAGTGAGATTCTGTCTCAAAAATAATAATAATAATAATTTTCAACTTTACTCATTACTCTGTTTATTTGCTATGAGGGAGAAATTCAGAAATGACCCAGAAAATGAGAGTTCTTCCTCACTGTTCTTTAGTCCTGCCTCTCATTTTCCTGAGGCCCTAGAATGGCAAAACAAAACCCCCTTGAGGGTGAAAGGGGAGGGATCTTGAGAGCAGACGGAAGAAGAGCACATTCCCACACAGAAAATCTTATCCACTCACATTCTCATCATTCGTTTGATCATTCCACTGCCCCCCTGGACTGTGAGCTTCTGGAGGACAGGATGATGTCCCTGCCACCTTTGGATCCTGTATTCAGCAACATGGGGCCTACCATAGTGAATTAATGAATAAAAGAGTGTGTGTGTGTGTGTGTGTGTCAGCTGCCTACCTTCTAAAGGCAAGTGGCAATTTGGGGTTGGGCCACCATCTTTTCTTTTTCACGTTCTGAGTCCTTGTGTCAGTGTGTGCTGAGTAACATAGAGGAAAACAGAGTATCCAAGAAGTCAAACACATGGCCATTGCGTCAGAGAAACTTCCAGGTGGGAGACTATCATGGTGTCCACCATGAGCACGGAGGTCCATCGCTTCTACTCTGGAAGCCAAGCAGCAGAAAGGCAGCCAACTGTGACTGTTTGGGGTCTTACCAATAGTTGCCACAGGTGGGAAACGTCCCTTCTCATGGGCTGCAAAGAGAACCGTCATTCTGTGCCGGGGCAGCCAGCTCTTACGATGTGTTCGGAGCTCTTTCAGTTCCACTCTGTCTAACAAAGATGGGCCTTGAGCGTCTACCCTATGCCATGTGCCAAGTTCTGGGCCCGCTTAGCTTCTGTTGTCACGGAGCTCCCAGGCCAGAGGAGATGGAGAGAAAAGCAGTCATTTGAATGTAGAATAAAAGGCACTACCATGAAACAAACTCAGAAGAGGCTGTAGGAGGAAAGAGAGGACCCCACACTCCATCTGAGGACAGAGATCTCTGGGAAGGGTTACCTTGGAACCCCTGTGAGGTAGGCAGGGCAACGATTGTTATCCTTCTTGTGTGATGGCGGGGGCACTGAAATAGTGATAAGCCAGGGGGAAATGACACTATCTTGTAGTTGAAGGTCAGACAGACCTTTGCCATATTCTCAAACTCTTACCACATGGCTGGACATTCCCGAATTGCACCTTTAAACCTCTCCTTCTGAGAAAAATTGGATCTATATCTATGCCCAACCTTGTATGCCAAGCAAATTCAATTCAAGCCAACAGGCAGAGTATAGGCTCAGATAGAGTCCATCCTGTATGGGAGGCGGTGAGCAGTGGTGGGAAATCTCACTGTGATTCATCCAGCTGCTTTCTGGTAGGTCCAGGGTCAAGGTGGGGGTCTGATGTGAATAGGCTATTCTTGGCAGCCTCCAGAAATATTTATTTTTTATTTTATTTAATTTTTTGAGACTGAGTCTCAAGCCATTGCCCTGGGTAGAGTGCCATGGTTTCATCATAGCTCACAACAACTTCCAACTTTTGGGCTCAAGCAATCCTCTTGTCTCTTGCCTCAGTTTTTCTATTTTTAGTAGAGATGGGGGTCTCACTCTTGCTCAGGCTGGTCTTGAACTTGTGACCTCAAGCAATCCACCCACCTTGGCCTCCCATAGTGCCAGAAGTATTTATCATAGGTCACTTATCTCCCTTCCTTCCTTTCTTCTTTCCTTCCTTCCTTCCTTCTTTTCTCTCTCTTTCTCTCCCTCTCTCTCTTTCTTTCTCTCTCTCTTTCTTTCTTTGTTTTTGCAGTTTTGGCTAGGGCCAGACTTCAACCTGCTACCCCCAGTATATGGGGCCAGCACCCTACTTCTTGAGCCACAGGTGCCGCCCAGTCACTTATCTTTCCCTGCTGTATTTTTCTGCCATCATAAACATTTCCAAGAGAAATTTCCTGATTTCTCAAGTAAGGAAATCACTTAGCAAAGGGCACTTGGCTCGGCGCCTGTGGCTCAAGTGGCTAAGGCGCCAGCCACATACACCTAAGGTGGTGGATTCAAATCCAGCCCAGCCCAACAAACAACAAGGACGGCTGCAACCAAAAAATAGCCAGGTGGTGTGGCAGGCACCTGTGGTCCCAGCTACTTCGGAAGCTGAGGCAGGAGACTCGCTTGAATCCAGGAGTTGGAGGTTGCTGTGAGCTGTGATACTACAGCACTCTACTAAGGGGG